ACTTATCACAATATGTTCTATTTTCTCCGCTGTCATATTTGCTTTTATTATGAATTATACAGTTCACATTTATTTTCACTTCTGATAACCCATCGCAGTAGGAAAAAAATGTTGAATTTTTGTAAAATCAGGGATTTCAAAAATTAGACCCGCACTACTCTCTTAAGCGTCCAGTATCCTATCCGACAACAAAATTTAATAAAAAAAATTGTGCATTTTTTAAAATGTCCGAAGTACCTAGAAAATTTTAAAATTGCCTTTAAATTCCAGGGGCCGCCTTTAGTGCTTACAAATTGTTGGAAATGTGCATATCAACGACGTGAGAAATCTTTCAAACAATTTACATTTGTGTAAGTTTTGAAAAAAATACACTGCAATGTACTTTACTTCATATTAAAGAGTGGAATCATCACTATCTGTTCGAAATGTTTGAAGAAAAAATTTGGAGCCGTTTTTTAGAAAAAATGCATTTGACCGTTTCTAAAAATGCAGAATTTTGAGCTAGGTTTCACAGAAAACGGTTGTGTTTTCGAGAAAATTTATACATTATTTAAAGCACTCATAAATATAAGGTGAACAAATTGTCTCTAATATAAATATTAACGACGTGAGAGAGAAGTCAAAAAATTACAATTTTGTAATAAAAACAAAAGGATATCGCAATATGAAGGTTGTGTCACGTCATAGAGTGCATTTAGGAGAATCCTCACCAAAAGTTTAAAGAAAAATTTTGGAACCGTTTTTTTGTAAATCTTGTATTTGTAATTTTTTTTAAATTGAACATATTGCACGCAATATTGTGCGGAAACTATTAAAAAATTTAAAATAAATTACATTACCTTAATGAAAAAAAATTATGGACTACAAATTGAATATGAAGATAATTTTTTTTTTGTTGAAAGACGCCGAAAAAATTCAAACTTCTGAAATTTTCAAAAATCCAGAGTTAACCGTAAAGATCGGACTTATGCCACCTTTATAAGTGTATTTTACTCTATTCTGTAAAGAAATTTAAAGAAAACATTTGGAGTCATTTCTGAAAACGTTTTGAAAATGTCCCAGGCTTCATGTAAAGTACCCCAAAAAACTAATTATTGATTTTCAATATCGAGAGAGAGAGAGAGAGAGAGAGAGAGAGAGAGAGTGAGGGGGGAGGGGGAGAGAGAGCGAGGGGAGAGGGAGAGAGAGAGGGGGAGGGAGAGAGAGGAAGAGGAGAGAGAGAGAGAGAGAGGGGGGAGAGGGAGAGACGGAGAGGGGGAGAGAGGGAGAGGGAGAGAGAGAGAAAAATTTATCTAACATGTGAGTAAATACGTAAAGTCAAATAGTCAATCATAATCACATTTGGTGATATATTGATGTATAAGAACCAGAGAGGAAGTAAATCTACTGAAATTGTAGTCAAATTGATTGATCCTCTTATTGATTATTGTGATAAATATATTGACTGAAAGGGCGAAAAATTATGTGCAAATAGGCAAACTTGTAAAATAGTTCTTACTTACCTTTCATTATTTACTGATGATTGAGGAGAAGAAATATAAACCTTTCTTGCATTGATCATTTTAAATTCAATGTAACGTAATGCACTTCTACAGGTATCGAAATGTAATTAACAATCATAAATGCTTAATTTGTGGCAAAATAAGTAAGAGAGCTTCCCTACGGTGTAAAAATTTGTACTTCAATTCATTCACATAATGATCTATAATATTTTTATAATTAAATTTGTTCAAAGATTAATTTAAAATGTGTTATTACTCAGTAATGTGGTCACAATTTGGATTTCTTTACGATTGCGAAATATATTCTCCGAATGTAATTGCGCCCAACAAGGTGTCGGAACAGTGACAATTATATATAATATTTTTATAAGTTACTAATGTGTAAGGTTATAGTGGAACAACTCATATGTCATTTGGTTTAGGAGATCTTTTTACTATCTTATGCAAGGGCACCCTCAATAAAAGATCCAAAATCCCACCTCTGGAAGATACTAAAAGTATTAAAAGTACTAAAATTATTTAAAATATTTTTTCCTAATTGGTTAACTACTGACTAACTGTTAAGGCATCCATTTTGTGTCATAAATCCACCCAATGAAATATGTATTAAATTTGTTTTTGTGTCAAAAAAATTCGAGAGCACCGAGTCCCCCAGAAATGAAGCACTGCCAACATTCACAGCTAACAGTTTGTTTTGCTCGTGGTTAATATGTCAGAAATGTTCAATTATCCTTCTTCGTTCATCTTGAATGTTACAAGGCTGATACACTAGGCTGCTACTTCTTTATAAAATTATTCATTAATTAAGCTGTAAAAATATTAATTCACTTTTGGAGTTTTGTATTTTATTTGTATTTTATTTTTTATTTCTTTCCTTATTTTCATTTTTTGTGTGTACAATAAGTTTCTATGAAAATTAATTTTCAACTAATGTTCCCTTTGAAAGTTAAACACTACAACAAATTTAAACAAATAATATCTTTAAAAAAAGTGAAAACTGACAATGAATCATACAGTAAGCATCAAATGTTTTTGCAGAAGTATGCAATAAAAATAAATGGATGTGAATTTAAGAAATAATACATACATAATGAGTAACACAACAAGCTCCCACAAGCCTAAAATCCCATAATAAACTTAGAGCTTAATAATTAAATTTTATTGATATTTTGTATTTAATTGATCAATCAGAAACTCCAAAATTGGACTAACTACATGTGTGCTAAGAGAGTTGCAATTCGTGAGAAGTTATACATTTTTTCAGAACTACTTTATTCGGAATAAGTAAAAATTGCAGAACATTTTGAATTCCTAGTGTGATTATCGTGAATATATAATAATGAAATCCTATGAAATTAATACTACAAAAAATGTGGATAGAAAGGGGAGAGAAAACTATAACATAGGGGGAGAGATAACATAATTAATAAGATAACTGGATATCAATAATTTTGGAAAATAGTTATAATTCGGAAATGAACATATGTAAAGGCTTTTAGTTAGTGTGCAAGAATTATGAAAAATTAACCATTGTGTTGAAGTTTCTTTTGTCTATTTTGATATGGATGTTTTTTAGACACATTTATTACATTATATTCCTTTTTTTCTATCACTTATTTAAATCTCCTTCTAGTCTTGTTTGAAAAGTAACCTTTAAATCATTTTCATTTATGTGAAATATTATATCATTGACATTCCAAAGTTCCCTTTACACACCCTTTTAAAAAAAACAACCACCATCAAGCAGTGGATCTTGCATGAGTGCTGAGCTCAGATTAGCAACTCAATCCAAACATGTCAGGGAACAAGTCAATCATTCTCATTTTTGACTCTGATATTAAGATAGCAGTGTCAGATGCATGCCAGGGAGGGTAAGGTAAGGCAGGCTGTGCAGTGTCACTTCAAAGAATTAAACAATAGGTCACTTTCATAAGGCAGTTATGTAAATTAAAATAAAATTAGAACATTTATTTTTGTCAGTATTGTAGACATATAAATTAGAATATTTATAATGCGCCCAACAAAGTAATAATGTCATTACTCTTCTCTTGTATTGTTTTGAATACAAATATTCTGCTAATTTTAGATAAGTTTGATGATATTAGCTTTATTTTTCCAATTTTGAATTTTTATAGCCTTTTTTCCTTGCTTATTGTCAATTATTTTGAGGCCTCTCTTGCCTCCTAGAACTTCAGTTTCAAGCGCCTTAACATCTGAGAGCTAAAGATAATGCTTGATTTTGATTGAATAGCAGGATTTGATGAGAGTACAAGCAGTGCAGTCCAGAGCTGTGGAAATTTGTTATGAAAGATATAGACAACATAAATAATGTAGATCAATAATAGTTGTATCAATCATTTACAGATGTTCAATCAGCTTGGAAGAAGATGTCAAAAAAATGCCTGAAATATTAATATACATAAAACAAACAGGTGTGCTTGGTAACCTAGCCTATGGGAACACATACTATGGTTTGATATCAAGTCACTCACTGATTTAATACCAACAGGACACCAAATGTACTCGAAGTTCCAGAAGCAAACAAAGTACATTATAAGAAAATTAAATTTATAATTATTGTATTTCTTGGGGGGAGTCATAATTTTCATGAACTCAAAAATCTTATTTACTCACACTCTAAGTGGTCACTCAAGTTGCCTTCCTGGGAAAACAGTCTAACAAACTCTTTCAGAATATTAGCAACAAGGAGAATTATTTGGACAAGTTAATAAATGAGTATATACATAAATAGACAAAGTACTTTAAAGCACAAGGAGATTAGAAGAGAGTGAGGATTTAAACAAAAGTAGTTGAAATCAAAAACTAATGACATAATGTCAATGGAGGACAACCTGAAATACCTTTGGAGAAGAAGTAGGAGATTACTACTAAAAGAATTATTGTAATTTTTCTTCAAAGCAAATTGGTATAGATATTTGGAAATAAGTATCGAGTTCTTGGGATTTGGGCTACTGTCTGTCTTCATGATTTAAATAATGGTTAATGGTTGTAGTAATTAAAAACCTGCTAGTGGTTAATAAAATGTGGTATGTGAGTCCCCACAGATCATCATAATTATTTTTGTTCCTTCATCTGCTCTCTCAGAAGTGCACCAAGCCTTGCAGCCAGCACATTTATCATCAGAACACTATGTATATAATCCTTAAAGAGTGATTTCACTTATCAAATCGAGATATGTCATGATAGAGAAAGATGAACTATTGTTAACATTTAAAATAATTAAGTGTTAAAGAAGATGTAAAATATCTGCCATTTTTTCATTACAGGTAGTTTCTTAATTTTATTGGGATTCAAATAAATTAAATTAGTTTTATTTTTTTAAGCATCTGTCAGTGTGCATTTTATGTGTATTGTGTATTCTAATAAATGTAGGTGATTCATCCAACCTATCATTTGTTATTTTGAGAATCGTATTATTGAAACTCCATGATCATTTTCACTTTTGTATGTATTTGGTAATTTGTTTTCCACATTGTAAGGTGTGTAAATATGAAGTAGTAGTAGTAGTAGAAATAGTAGCAGTGGTAATATCAGAATACCATTAGCTATAACAAATATATTGCATATTTCATTGTTTAAGCAGAAATTGCTTTTGGTGAATTTTTTGACATTATTGTTTAGGAGCACCTAAACACACCTAAACATTATTGTTTAGGAGCAGTTTTGTATCCCACATTCTGTTTCAAGATTCCCCTGAAATTTGATAGTTTCTTTTATTTTAGTAGTTATATTTGTAATATCATCATACATCAGAAATAAATGACATGCTTCCATTTAGTGTTTGATTATGTTGATTTATTAACATTTAATGTTTTGTTAAAGTATAACAAATTCAGTCATTAGCCACTGATCTAACAGTTGTAACAGCTTTACTTTTTGGCTTCTTCTTTTCTCGCCCTCAACAATGTAGCTGAGTTAACAATGATATATACACAGGCTCATCTCAGTAAGTCAACTTTTCCTTGGATCTGAGGCTTTCAAACATAATGTAGGAAATAAGACTGAACCAATCTGTCTGAGTGTTGTATTTCATTTCTGCTCAACAGTGACCAAATGATACAACCATTGGTAGAGAAAAGAGCAGCATTACAAGAACAAAGATATATAAAAAAGGCTAACACATCTAGTGTTTATACTGATCCATCATCAAGAGGCAATACAGGAAGCTCACTTCCAAGAATGTTAAAGAAAAATTAATTACAGGTGGCAAGGCAAATTGTTCATTCTATGTTTTCACTAGGCCTATAACTACAAATCACATTGACTCACTGTAAATGTAGCATTTCATTACCTATCAGTCATACTCAGAGGAAAATGGTCATGTTGTTAGCATTGCATAAGGCTGTATGTACAGTTCTTATTGCACTTTTCCCAGTGAAAGTAAAAATAAGCAATATTGCTTATTCTTACATTAAAAGATGTACATTTATCATTCATGTGTTGAGAAACATACATGACAGACTTATGGTGATATGATTCAATGCATGTTGTTTGCTACCTGAGTATTTATTTAAAAATATCAATACATAATTATTGACACTTTCAAATGCATTTCATAATCAGGTAACAAATAGTGAGACTACTTAAAGGAATTTTTGGAATTTTTTTTTTGTTTCTTTACAAATATTTTATGAAAATAATTAACAAAATTGGCATAGTGTTACAATCCCAACTACAAAACGAGCCAGCTACAGCATATGTATACATTTAAAACACAATGGTCATATTGACCTAAGCGCAAGACAGCATACAGCTGCTGGCTTTACAGAGCCAAGAGGAGTCACACTCAGAGTGCCCTCCCAGGGGACTCAGCCTCAGCGCCAACCTTTTGTAGTGCGTTTAGTGTTTTATATTTCTGAAGGATGTAATTAAATAATTCAGTGATGTTAAATAGAAACAAGATTATAACTCCATGACTATTTATCCTTTTTGTCAAATATTCAAAATCAGTATGGAAATTGGAGGAAATGTGTTGAAAAATTGTGCATGAAATTAAAGATATGTAACAATATTTTGTTAAAGGAAAATTTTGTTATTCATATGTAAAAAATTACTGCCAGCCTGTCGCTCGCCTCTTTAGTTAGAATGTTATGTGCCACTGTATGATGTGTAGAGATTCTGCCAAACAAGATGCTACATCTATTGTAACACCATAGCAGCTTGAACATACACCACTACTTAAGCATTAATGCTTGCAGATATGAGGCAGACAATATTTTCAATGTTACAAACTTGATAATTTACCTCTGAATAGGATTCCCTTTATTATATCTATTAAATATTTTCAAATACATCTGAACTACGTAATATATGTCTCTCTCTCTATTTCTTAATTTGAAGAAAAATAATTATTTTTGCAATTGCATATTACCAACAACTATTTATATTGTATGTACAGTATGGAGGTTAGATAAAACATGGAAGTGAGATGGTAGGGTATGTGTGGACTCACTTCAACAGAATGCACAGAATTACATACAAGCTCATCTTACACGTGTCAAAGTGCAACAGTAGCTAACAATAATAAAATTTTGAGATGAAAATATGATGGCAGTTCTCTTTCTTAAGAGGATTTTTGGAACAAATGCTGAAACCTTTATATTGGTTTCAAAATTTTCTTTAAATTATTGTTAAGAGTATGAATATGTATTTATCATTACAACTGGAAAACCCAAGCAGCTTATACATCAACAATAAAATCAACAACCCTCCCCTTATTTTATATGTAAAACAACAAAACTAACTCTAATCACAAGAAAATATTGTATATTATCTTGCATTTATCACTAGTCAGTAGAGGCTTTGCATTTTCCAATATAAACATGATAAATACAGAGCTTATATACTAATAAAACAAGTTATTTTTAAATTATAACATTTTTTATCAAAAAAGATAAATGACAGTAATTAAAACCCTATGGTACATGCTAATTACTGTACATAGAATGTCACATGGGGTCCCGAACACTAGTGTATGCAGCATCTCTATTTAAGTACTGTATACATTCTTAGGTTTCTGTTTTGTTTGCTTCTAAGAGGCAAGGTTAATGTATGTTTAGTTACTTATTGTTTATACTCAAGCGTATGTTCTTTACAGATTCCCTACATTCAACTTCAAAAATTTAAAACACTAGCAAGTTGTATCCTGCTGAACTTTGGTCTAGGTGACACTACTTTGCGTGATGTGTACTGAAAGATTTCACAATTCTTAGCGTATGCCTACACATTAACAAACATATTATTTAAAATAATTATTTGAAATTTGGTGGTCATTTACATGGCATGGATGGAACATTTGTCCCTAGTAGTGCATTCAGAAATGCCAGCATCCTTACCGATTTGTGAGAAGCAGTTGTTCTGTTTTAAACATAGACCATGGCACTAACTGCCAAATGATGCAGAGCTAACACACAGATATTAACTATATACCATCAATTGCATTACTGAACAAATTTCTTGACAGAAATTTGTTGACCTGATTTACTGAAGATAACATGCAAGAATGTCGCATTCAATGATTTTGGGCTATGTCCAGTAGGGTCTTGATAGCTGATGGTTTTAAATTATTTAAGTGTTCAGATTACATATACTGAACAGATTGGAGCATATTATTACATAGAGACCCTGCTGTCAAATATACATGCAGGTGCGCTAATGCAGAAATGCCTCTGCATTAGATGTATGAATTAGGTCTGTTTGTACAGCAGTTGAGCAACTTGATTACACCATCTTCACAAGTCTCTTGACTTCACTTCATAAATGCATATTCACATTCACTCAATTAAAGGTAGGATTTCTAACATGACAGTTAGAGAACTTGTTAAGAAGGTGTTTCTGTCACAGACTCCAAGCTCCCAAAAGTGAAGTAAATTTTAATGCTAGTTGAAAGTAAATTTTTGCTCCAGTTCAAGATAATGGTAAAAAAGAGATGTTGGATGAATCTGGTTTCTGATGATTTGTTGCATACTAATGTTGTCGATAAACAATGCCACCAATATTAAATTAAAATAAATTGTCAATTTTTGTCATTTTTGCAAGCTTTTTGTTTAAATTTGTATGCTAGCCCTTTGATATTTGAATTATTGTTCATTTATAAAAGCATTAAATTAATTTGACTAACAGATACAAGCTGTCACATTCTGCTGCATTGGTATCATTAAAGCAACATAATTATGCCAATGATACCTTCCTACCAAAGACTGGCCGGCAGACTAACAAGTGTAATTTCTAAAAGAGTTTTCAGGATAGCCACCTATTGCTAGTAATGTCACAACACTTCTGTAGAAAAGATACTGTAAATTAAGAACAGTAACTTTGCTAATCTAAATAATATTGCAAAGAAAAAATAACTCTATACAAAAGGAAACCTAGCAAGGATGTAACAAGTATTATTGATTTTTATAATATCACATTTCGCAATTCATGGCAGACATACGCACTCTCCTTAGTAGGCCTAATGAATATTCATTGCTCCATGGCTCACGTCCTAGGATCATTCGGCATCATGTAGTATCAGTGTAGTATGTTCCAAAAGGGAACTAGAATACACACTGATAAGACAGTATAAATATACTGGTTGATTTTTCCAGAAAAAGTGTTTTGGTCTACTTACAAAAATAATAAAATTTGGTTTATAGGTAACATAGTCTGATACAATTTAATATCTTCACATAAAATAGACATAGAGAATTTTTGACTAAAGAGGAGCTTTGATATCTCAATTATTGGCTCCCGACATATTTCATAGGAAGTTAACAACGAAAAGAGGGCTGAAGTCAAGTTTTGTTTTTCTTAAATATTTGTTACCCTTGATGTGTAATAGATAGAGTTCTGGGAATTGTTTTCAATAGTGAGGGGGTAAGTTCTAACTCACACTTAACAACTCGCTGCATACAAGTGACTTCTCTGTACAAGAACAATCTTATTGTTCATTCAAATGCGATAAATTAGAACGTGGAAACAAAGCAAACATTCTGGCAGTGGCGCTACGAGTAATCATGGACAAAATGTAGATGTCTGGAAACTCCCATTTCGTCTCGGGCTCCGATTATCTGATGTAAATGAGCGACTTTTTATTGAGTTGTGTCAACCCAATCATGGTGTGCAGTTTTCAGAACTAGACGAAGTGATTGTCCTTTTTCGAACAAATAATGGAGACTTCGTGTACTCTATACCTCTTGTTTTAAACACGTTCTCGTCCAAATTGCCCGTAGATACGTAGTATATTTCATGAATTCCTCTATGCCTTCTTTGTTAAATTTATAATAGTATCTTTATTTGTGATTGAACCCAATGTGGGTGTACCGATTTCATAAATGATGCTCCCTTGACGTGTTTTAATTTCCGCAAGTTTTAAGCCGTTATCTAAAAATACTGGTTTCACTCTACTGTGACATTTACGAATGTACAACGCCTACACTGGAGGGTTGCACATGTGCGGAATCGTGAGCCACAGCAGCTACAGAAACTTAAAAATTAAAAAGAACAAGCGGGGCAAATCCCGCCGCACTTTCCTTGTGGGTGTCAAGATAAACGATACTGAAATTTTCCTACGCACGAGAGCTATTGCGGTTGGTTTTTTTTTTGTTACTCCTGCTACCAGATTTCGACAACTTTTCATTTTTGCTGATTATTTATGTATTTATTATTTTTCTGCACAATTGCGGTTCTGTCGGAGCTGGATGTGACTAAGCCCTCTCGTTTTTAACATCGGTCGGTTATCCTACGAGCGAGATTCGGCCGCTGTTGTTATAAGATGGCGGCGATGGCGGGCAACAGAAGGAGAAGGGCTGCCGCCAGCGCTGACGGCGGAGGTCGCAGACCGGGCGCCCCGTTGCACTTGTCTCCTTCGCACGCACAGTACTGGACGCTCACGTCGTGTGTGCCTGAGCGCTGCACGCAGGGGCGACCTTCCTTGAGCGACGTGTCCATCAAATAGCCGCATCCTCGCACCACTCGGAACTTTCCATACACTGCAACAGGAGAACCGAGTTTGAGATTCCTGTTTCATTTTCAAAAAAATAATATGAGAAATATACAGCGATAAATTCGTATTTGTTAAATAGCGAGCAGATACAGATAAAAATCTCACAACAGCCCATGGGACCGCGGTGGAAAAAAACTGTGAAGGTTATTAATTAGGTCTACTTGTTTCGGAAAATATGCAACGGTGTTGTAAATGGAACTCAAATATTGCTTCATAATTACTCCTTAAGGATGATTTTTTTTAGAAAGAAATAGGCAACTATAGGAATTTCTTTCTTTACCATTAATTATACATTTCATGTGTTCCTTAATTTTTGTCACTGTCTAGTTAGCACTATAACAACTTTCAGAACTGAGAGATTCTGGTAGGATCATCATAGGTGATTAGCCTAAATAAAATTGGGATCACAGGCTTTATGAACGCAAATATAGGTCTAAAGAGGAAAGAAACCTGGATAAAGGCGAAGACTTATCTGCTAACTAAAAAAGATCGGGATTTATTAAGATATTTAAGATTAATTTTGTATATTATCGCACGAGAAGAAAAATGACACAAAATACGCTTAAGTAAAAAACCAAAATGCAAGTGGCGTTTGATACTTGACCAAAAAATTCTAGAACGGACGAGCATACTACTATAATGAATCCTGCTTCAACGGCCACCTCGAAAAGGTCAAGACAAGAGTAATTTTCCGTGCAACCGATTTATTTTCCCATGGAACACGTGTAAAAATTCCCTTTGAGCGGCCTCTTGAACCCGATGTTAGCGGTCAGGCACATTTCTTACATTGACCCGATTTAAGTGGCTACCTGTGATTTTGAACGTTTATAGAATAAGCAGCCGAAGAGCAATAAGTTCTGTTGATTCAGTAACTCCTTGGTTGGGAGGGTGGCCATCTAGAGACTCTTATCTGGCAGAGGGCTAACTTTGTATCAGGGAACAAAGATATTTTAATAACTATCTCTATGATATAACAACGCGCCTACTTTGTTCATTCCACAGCATTCTCATGAAGTTTGCAAACGGTTACTCCCTCTGTGGGATCTTGCCAACGGCCCGCCAAGCACAACGGCGTGCGCGAAGCAGATCTGAAGGTCGTTTGCGAACATCTTCGAGGAATAGCCCTCCTCACCGAAATGCGATTTGTGTGAATTATTAAGAATATTGAGAATTCTGTTTGGCGAGGACGAACGGGGGTACGTGAGTAAGAGACTTGGGACAAACCAAGTGTGCCGTAGCCGAGAGGAGGCAAGTGATCCAAGAGAACGAGGGAGAGGTTTTGGATAGAAAACTTGCTGACATTTTTAAGTAGGAAAAGACAAAAATTAATACAATTATAATAAAAACCAAGGGCACACTTTTAGGAAGTTTTGAAACCTGTGCAGGTAATTAGAGATGAAAATTGCTAAACAAACCACTCCAAAATAATTTATTTGCGAAAAAAGAAAAATTCACATATAAACGGGTTTGCTTTTTTTTAATAGTTCAAGTGCAGTTTGTTATTCAAATTGTATTTTGTAGTTAAAAGTAATTAATATGATTTTCTCACTGCACAGCATTCATACGAGAGAGTATCTCGGGAGAAACATGCTTTTGAAAACGTGCATTGTTTCCTTACAGTACGACATTCTATTTAAGAGTTTTAAGAAGGGTGCTTGTATTATGAAAAAAAACATATTCAAGACGTTTAAACTTTAAAAAATAGCTCTATGTTTGTGAATGCATTTCTGAAAAATCGATATATTATGTGCTTCACTCTGGGTTGCGAACATCACAATAAGATCTGCCCAAACTATTGAAAATGTCTGTCGTCAAACCAGTAAGTAGAAGACCTAGATCCCGAAAGAAGACCTTGTACTTTGGTGAAACCATTCGTAAAGCACTTGGTGTTCGTGAAGAAACAAAAAGGTATGGTTATTGCATAGCAATTCTGAACTTAAAGAATAAAATCTAAACATCATTGTCTAGCCCGGTGGAGGTAATGACTGTTTCTAGTTATGAGGCCCTTATGAGTCTTTATGGGAGTTGGTAACGGTTTATTAATGATAAAACGGATGGCTTAAGGTGCTCTCAGTATTGTGATGTAATTTACACGACAGTACCGACAAATGAGCCACGAGGGATTCATTCAATTTCCAGTAGGTTAATGATCCCAAACATGTTGCTGGAATAACAAGAGCGAAATTGCTCCTGGGTGTCTTATTACGTCACCATTATCATCCGATCTTAAAAGTGTTGAGAATACCCAGCCAATACCGGATAATCAGCTAATAATTTTTACAAACTGTGTTGTTATAAAGAGGAAAGATAATTCATCTGATGGTGGTTAAATATGTTAATAAAGTCAATGACTGGTGATAATTATGGAGAAGTGCAGAAATCGAGATATCTGTCCCGAAGCAATTGTCGAACAATAATGCGACTGAGAGGGAAAGGGCTAAAGAGCGAACGAAATTAGGCACCCTACGAGCACAAGGCTCAATACTTGAAGACAATATTGTTCCGGGAAGTTGCGTCCATTGCGGTACCCACTAAATCTCTTTAGATGCCGTTCTAGTGCGAGGGGCTGGCCTCTTTGTTCGACCGACACTTCAAAATTGATTTTACAAATGATAATATAATCTAACGTTAGTTTCTTTTGCAGTTCTCATGTATAATGTCATGTTACTTTCAGAACAACTGTTGGGAATATGGAAGTTTGTATTAGTGGCCTGAAAAACAGGCACATTTCTGTCAAAGAGTAATAGAAAATGCTATATAAACATGTGTTTATTATATCTTGTAATGTAGTTCATTATGGTTTTTAGAATTTTTAATAAGTGTCATTTATATTCCGGCGCAATCCAGCCGTACATTTCCTTCCATGTTATTAAATAAAAATATCTAATGTATTTATCAAGTAAATTTCATTTAAGCAACAAATATGAATATTATTATTGGCCATCTCGCAGTTCTTTGACACCTGCATGTAAGCTATAAGCGAGGAAATGCACTTAAGTAGATCTGACGTTTCTGAAATTCCGAACAGTTTTCTACTAAAATGATTTCCAAAATCATAATTAGACTCCGAGAAGTTGTAGGTCAAAATTATTTCTGATGGGTAAGGTCAGGGCTAGAGCGGAGGGGCAGAGCGAAGCGAGACAAAGAGGGGCGACGTGGGGTGGGTGGGGCGCTAGAGAAAATAAAATTACTTTTATCGTATTGAGATAATTAATTCCTTTTTCAGACTAATAAATACTTTTGATGAATTAATACCCCGGCAAGTTTCTTCCGCTATTTAGCAATATTTTATAATTTTTCTTTGCCAATTACACATCTGAATATCAAATATATAGAATACGATTTCATAAAAAAAAAGAATACTGGAAGAATAGAGCCTTAGAATCGTCCATCTAGAAAGCACAGTGATACGTCTAGTGACACACAAGATATGTCTCTAATGTTTTAGAGTAAGACAGTGTCGTGGGTAGAAAATATTTTCACATTTTCATTTAAATATTTCAGATTTAAGAAATTTAGATTTTTGAATTTCAGTAATTCTAAAATTAATTTACACATAATTTCTTGAAGTCAATAATTTCTGATTAACCATTTTTGGTACTTATTTAACAAGTAAGAAAAATTACATCGACAGCCCTGACCCAAATGGCAACTCAAAACTTTAAGGTGTTAGGCATTCGCTTGAAAAGTTAATGAAAAGTCAGTCATTTAAATTTAAAATGTGTGGCAAATATATGTAGTGCAATATTAATAAAACATATCAAACTGACATATTCAAAGCGATATTAAACTTCATAACAGCAATATCTCAAAACTTAGAATTTTGAATTGTTGCGTTTTGGATTTGGACCGTCCATATGATCTTTGAATAATATATTAACAATTTCTTGACATCTTATTCGTTCACAACACTATTCCACCCATAAGGATTTATTTTACCTTTCTGAACATTTTTACGGCAGATTACTGCTGTCACATTCATAGGCCGCAGGTGTTCTGGCACTTGTTTCAAGCTGCAGTTGACGAAACCTATAGAATATGGATTGAAGGGGTCGCCGCATTGTGGGTCGTATGCAGAGTTGCACTGATAGCAGATGATGGCCAACCCTGCAACAAAAAAAACAAACAAACCACTTTTAGTGATTTTCACATGTTACATTCACTGTGTAGTTTGAGCAGAGAGGGCCATGAGACTGCGCAAGTTTTCGAGGGATGGCGGTGATAACTCGCAACGACCGTCATTCATGAGGAATGTTACAGTGCCTTGTTGATTCTGCAACCTGCCTTTGGCAGAAATAGTGGTAAGAATTTTTTTCATGTCTTTATGTATTACTATTCACTAATTTCATTGACCTATTTTGATTTCATGTGAAAAACACATCTGTTGGTTGACATCTCCACAACACAAATAGCATGTACTCTTTTTCATGTTTATTTCTCTAAATATTATGAAAATGTCTTCAAAATAATGTTTTATTAACTATTCTAATATTAGGTTAAATGATCTTTTTGTTTGTTTTAATGTTGATTAAGTCTTTTTTTCATTTTATCATTTTAATACTTCATGAATGTGAACTGAAATACCAAATTGACATATCGTGAATCATCAGAAAATAATGTTTTTATTTCCTATTTAAGGCATATTTTATTTCATTAAATAATAAATAAATGGGATGCAAGTTGTTAATTAATCATTAAAAATATAATTAATGCAAATATAACAAAACATCATACCCGTGGGTAGGAATGTACTCAGAAACCTTCTGTTTACGAAAGAAATGTAGATGTTTATCATTTTAAATTTATAGAGCTCTCCACATTGTCAAAATAATGAAAAATAATATATTATGTGTGCAAAACTTCTTTTGATTAACCGAAGAATTAGTAGATATTTAGAAACTGGGTTAGAATAAACCTTTAAGTTTCGCCAGGTCACGAGATAATTTCTTTTCGCGTGGAGAGAGGGGAGTTGAGGGGAACAAACTTTCATTTACCAGTGGGTCACTAACCAATATAAAAAGTTTTTTTTTTGAAAATTAGTGGGATATGTTAATAAAAAAATCCTGGCAAACGTTTTTAAATAATGATTCAAACTACTAGTGCTACAGAATGGCACAGATCTTCTAGTACTAGTTAGTTTTCTAATCTTTTTAGTCCGTGCTAGCTACTCGGTTTTGGCCAGCCCTTTTCGCAGCTGCCGTCTACAAGCTGCCATTTTTTTCACGTTACCTCCATTTTTCGGTCCTCTATTGGAACGGAAATATAACATCAAGAATATTATAGAAGAGTAAAACCTGTCCACAATGCAAATGTTCGTAAAAAAATGTGGCGCCGTTTTTGAGAAAACGTTGTTTGACCATTTCTGAAAGCGCGCTAATTGAGATCATTTTCACAAAAAACATTTTAAGTTTTCGACAAATTTCATTGGAAATTATTTGGGGCACTTCTAACCCGAAATACAATAATGTATAACAACATCCGCAATATACATATTAACGACGTCAGAAAGATTTAAAAAAATGTGCAATTTTAAAAAATCAAAAGAATAAATCAAAATATCAATAATGGCATGTCATTCAATGCACTTAGTACTTTTCGTACAACGAGCTTAAAGTAAAAATGGAACCGTTTTTAGAAGCTGGCGATTGAACGTTTCTGAAAGAATTTTGCGCTCATTTTATCACAGAAGTGTTGAGTTTTCGAGAAAGTTTATAGGTCATCCTATGAAGCACTTGTACTCACAAATGCAATAATGTATACATTTTACCGATAATGTAAATAACACGAGAGAGGTACAAAAATACAATGCCTGACAAAAAAAAGTTATGCACTCAGGAGTGGTCCAAAATTATCCCGTTTCGGCATACATGCATACCAATGATGTGAGAGTGAATGCGTAGATTCACATGTATCTGTAATGTGTAGAACGTCTACCAGAGTGCATTCGCATTCTTACCACCCTGTTGTTGCTCAGATGTTACCCGTCAACTGCTCCGAGTTAGTCAGTGAAGAACGACGTTTACGAAGCTTCCGCGATACCGCGCGTCTGCGCTCGACAGCTTATCCTCTGCATCTGTCAGAGTCCGCGTGGGACTAAATCAGGTTGCTTGGTCGTAATGGGCAGTTGCCAGGCATGTGAGCCATTCAGATGCCACAGTGGCACAATGTTGGAATCAATGGGTACCCGGGAGCACCCATGCCCGTGGTTCAGACTCGGGTCGACCGAGAAACACCACCCCGAGGGAGGACTGTCGTATGGTGCTCCAAGCTGAAAGGAATCTCATGACGTCAGCACCAGAGCACCCGCGAACATGTACAGGCGACTCTACAACTTGCTTGAGTTCCCGCCCTGTGGCTCAACGACTCGCATCCGCCGGATTGAGGTCACACGGCCCCATGCGTCGGTTGCCATTGGCAACAGAGCGCCGTCGTCGGCGTTTGGTTTGGTGCCGTACCCGGCAGGCGTACACAGAGGACGAAGGCATCGCATCATGTTCAGTGATGAGTCCCGCTCCGCCGTAACCTCCGATGACCATCGTGTTCGAGTGTGGGGGCGTGAAGGACAGAGGGCACATGCTTCTCTTATTGTGGAGAGACACATAGGCGTAATGGTGTGTGACCGGGGCATCATGCTGTGGGAAGCCGTCGGTTATGCGTTCAAATCACCTCTAATAGTGCTCAAATATAAACAGACTTTGGCGTCACTGCTATAGACGATCACAGACGTTCTACCCAATATGGCACAGCACCCTGGAACTGTGTTGCAACAAGGTAATGCACGCCCACACACAGCACGTGTATCTATGGACTGACTAGAGCATTTTGAGGTCCTCCCGGGGCCAGCAAGATCCCCAGATCATTGAGTACGTATGGGATCCAAGGGAATACAAGGGGACTCAGTCGCAATACCAACAGCAGGATCTGAAGGAGCAGCTGCAACTGCTGGACGAATTTGCCTCAAGAGAGGGTCCAAAGGCTGTTTGACACCATTCCAAACCGCACAAGAGCATGCAATGCAGCCAGAAGAAGAACGGCACCTTACTGACCCGTTGCCAACTTTCCACCGGTAACTGCTAACGGCTTTGTATCTTTCATTCGATATAATCAGTTCAATAAAATCACATGGTCTTTCAGCATTGGCAGTTTCATTCAGCGTAGCAACACTTCTCTTCTGAGTGTACCCCTATTTGTCAGGCAGTTTAATCTTAATTTAATTTTTGAAAAATTAAAGAATACATCGTAATGATGTTTACGTGGTCATTGATGCAGTACCTTGGCACTTTGCCTACAATAAACGTGAAAGAAAAATGTGGAAGTCGTTTTTCAGAAAATCTTGTTTTTAATATTCGCATATGCCACGGGAGCAACTAAACTGCCGAAAAAATGTTACATGACATTAGTTAAAAGAACTAATGGTGGCAAGCAAAATTGAACTTGAAGAAAGCATTCCTATCTCAATGTGTTTATTATAGGAGACGGCCAAAAAATTCAAACTTTTGTCATTTTGAGAATTCAGAATTAACAGTGTAAACATGACCTATATCAACTTTATTCGTATATTCACTATATTCTTACATGAAACAATATAAAGAAAAAATTGAAAGTCATTGAAAGACATTTCGAAAATGACCTACGGAGATTCTTATAAAGTAATCCCAAAATTTAAAGAACGTTTTTCAATCACAGGAACTTTCGATCGGGCCCATGATTGACCAAAGGAACATCCATTTTTTGAAAAAATCCTATTATTAACAGAATTTCATAATTTTCTCTTATAATACGATTTATTACTCCGTATATTACTTCGTATAACTCTATACGGGATTTAAAAATGAGAAATGCTCGCACACAATCCACATTAGTATATATCACAGCCTATTTTTCACTTAGATTGAAATAATGTTTTTGCATGTAATTGAAGAAAGTGCATAAGGAGATTTAATGGATACGGAAAATAGCCAGTTATTCAAAGTAGAATAACAACATATCACGTAATAATGTTTTATATTTTAACAGTTAAACCAGGGCAGTCTGCTGAGAGACCTTAAAAACGTTATGGCTGCATCAAATTATGTTAAAAGTGTAGCAATTGGCAAAGGCCTTACTTAAATATCTAAGAATTTTATTGAATAAGTGATTCCTTAAATTCAATGAAAATAAAATTTTAAATTAATTTATTTTGTAGTGGAGATGTCCACATTTTTCAGAACTCTTTCCGTTACAAAGTATATTAATACTAGGAAAGTACAAGAGAAAACTAATTTTCTTAATAATAAACTCAGATATTTTGACGCAATGTTTAGAACATACACTCTTACAGTGGTGAAGGTCTTTTTGTCATGATCTGATAATAAATTTTATTCACTTTATTGAGCTAAAATCAGATTTACTAAATTGCAGTTTTTCTTAAAAAAATTCGTTACTATAATGAGTGTTCTAATAATAATGAGTTTTTGTAAGCGAAACCGTATCGTAAATTTACGAATACTTTTGCGAAACACGTGGATGCAATGCATAGTCCCCTACTTAAATGCTACTAACATCGTCTTATACCATTTCTAAGCTAAATTCTCAATTATGAAGGAGAAATTATAGTCATTTTGGATTTTACCAAAGGGAAAAAGGTATCAATATTCGTTATCAACACATTCTTATTTCAATACTCAATTGGTTTATCAAACTTACTAGAGCCTCGTTTCGATAATTAACCCAAATCTCAATAAGATTTCTTACGTATATTTATTTCGTAAATAATAAGTAAATATGAAATGGGTGAAAACCAAAACGGTATGGCCATTTTATTAATTTTGAGACTAAACGTGTTTATTTTACGCTTTATTTACGTTGGCGCACGTAATTTCGTGGTTTCCAATGAATAATTGAAATGCCGTTGTTTTAGTGATGAAAACAAGCACCAACGACTTAACAGTCAATATTGAATTAAATAACAGTTTTCTCAGAATTTATGAAATGTCATTTATAACGTTGGTAGTTTCACCCACTAATATTATCAATCCCTGTGTCATAAATATGTTGGAACGAAATAGATAAAGACTGAACGCATATGAAATCGAAAGTACGAGTATGTAAGGCCTAACTAATTTGTGCCAGATTTTTAAGTTGCACACCTTGCCTTGTCTCTCATTATTCGTAAATAATAAATAAGCTACTTTAAGAGTCTTATAAACATTAATAGCCTCCACGATGATTTTGTAAATCTTCCTGATCTCTCTGTTTTTCGCAATTCGAACAGGCCTTCAGATTTCGGGCGATTCCGCGAGGCGGAAGTAACTTCACATTTTGTAGTGACGGTGAGAGAGATGTCGAATGCAATTGGTTCTCCAGCTCAGCACTAGCAGCTGCATAGGCGGGGAATGAAGGGAATGAGTGGGAGATGAAGGGAGAGGTGGCGGAGGAAGGGAGAATAATATTGACGGTGGACATAGATGCGATGTCGGAAGTGATAGTGGACGGGAGGGCGGAGAACGACGGGGGTAATGATGATAGAGGTGAGGGCGGTAGTGAAAGCGAAAGGGCAGGGGTGAGGATGTGGGGGAGGGCGGAGGCGAGGCGGAGGCGGAGGCGAAGTCGAGGGCGAGGGGGCAGGGCGATGGCGAGGGCGAGGCGGAGGCGAGGGCGAGGGCGAGGGCGAGGGCGAGGGCGAGGGCGAGGGGAGGAGGGCGAGGGGCCTTTTGGGAGGATTTACTCTTGCGGTCACTTGCAAAACGTACTGTGGGCATTCAGTAGGATGGTTCGTACTGATGGAAATGAAAATTATTATCTTAGTAGACATTTTATATGAATTATTCATATTCATTCAAAAGGCAATATATTATGTTAAAACACTTAACTGAATTTTATTATATTTAACTGTAAAGGTTTTTTTCCTGTTTCAAAGCCATGATCTCATTGGGAAACTAAATATTTTCTACATTTACCAGAGGCAACATTCTGTTAATTACTGAGAAATATTGTCAAACGCGTACGTTATTTGCAGCAATTATTTGCCGTTATAATTTTTTCAAGTTTTTGTTTCAAACTCTTTCATAATCTGAGGACTATTACGATCTTCAGTCTCAGGCCATATTTGTTGTCATCAACAAATATTATTTTTTTCAAATTGTATTATATTATTTTAAAATATTTTATTTTCGTTAAATTCCTACCCCTGTATATTTAGTTAGGGAAAGATGGCGATTCTGTATCGCTTATACGACTCCATTATCACAAAATCTCGTAAATGTGTTACTGTTTGGACGGGTCATTACCTGACAAAGGGACGTGAAATATATTCAAGACGAAAACATGAACGTATCGCTACTATATTATTTCAGTTGTATGATACTTTTTCGGCTCTCTCACGCAACCAGTCTTAATAAATGAGCTCTCTAAACAAAGAAATTTCACGCACACGTGAAAATTGCACTTTCACTTTACAAATAGACAGGATTTGTTGAAGAAAACCGCATCGAAATATTAATGTCAAAAGCAACTGTAACACTCGGCAGGATTGCTAAATCTGTATAGTTAAATAATCTTCCTAAACAAAGCGTTCTAGGGTCTTAAACCTACCAATTTGAACGCTGAAGGACATATTTGTTTATGACGTCACGCTTAGAAGCTCAGATTCTCATCTTATATTTATACTTTTTGTGTACAAATTGGTTTGCTTCGATGACGAGATTTATTTTCAAAATATTAATTCAAGATTCGCTCTTGCAGAATCACTAGGAAGTATTAATAGTTGCTTGATACCGATAAATATTTTTTTATGCGAGTAGTGCAACCGTTCATGTACCGTTTCGCCGTGGTCTACAAGTGTTGTGTACCGCATTGTAGAGGGAATTACGATGTTCCTATGCTTTAATTTTAACAATACCCTTAGGAAAAATAAGATTTCTGCTATTTATCGTAGGATTCGTTCCCACGCAACACACGAATGTAAGTATTGACGTTTTTATTATAAGTAGTTCTATATAAGTATTGAAGTTTGTCAAATAACCTGCATTACTCATGCGCTTATATGGTCCACATCATTTTCTACTAATCACTAAGTGTTTATATCTTATTCAAATATAATTGTATTTATCACTCAGTCTCAAAATTTGAAAATAAGCTAATTTCAGTAAATACACATTCATGGACGAGACAGTTTCAAGAGGGGATTTTTTTAAAAAATGAATTAAAAATGAAATTTATGAAAGCTTCGACCTAATCAGGGTGGCAAACATCTTGAAATTCTATTTCGCTGGTCCGGCGCTTCTCGATACTATCCACCTGTTCAAAGATGTACAGAATCTTCAACTACATATGAAATTAAATTAATTACTGATATTCTAGACGATTGAATTGCACGGATGTACCTCTCTGTTCGGTATAGTTAAATAATATTCCAAAGAGTAGGTTGTACATGCCTAATCCTGTATTTTTTGTATGAACAGCATTACTACATTCGCAAAGAGTGGAAATGTCCTTCTAATATTTTTTGTGACTATCAAGGAAAGCGAAAGGGTAACTGTCAAGGAAGATCGTCTATAACTTCAATTCTTGTTTTTAAGGAAATTGTGAATTGTTCTACGAACATCTGTCAATAAAACTGAATTCAATACTTATTCAAAATTTGTTTCAAACACGATTTAATTTTTTTAAATTTAGTATTTCTGTAACTACATTGGAAGTTACCTTTATACATTTTTTAAACAAAATAATCACTTTCCCTTTTTAGTATGGAAATTTAAGGATAAGGAAGAGTGTGGAAGCTTACAAGCGAGTGTTCTCGCCGAGTACGCTAGTATGAGATTATTGTAGAAGCCAAAAGGCGCACTTACAACACGAGACACCTAGAGACCGCATGCGAGCCGCAAACCACGCAGGTGCGTCATAGGTACGTCCTCTTGCCATATAATAAAAATTAATATTTTTCAGGATATACGTATATCACATCTTTGAAGTGTTCAACCCTTCTGGGACACCTCCAATTCTTGATATAAGTGGTAAGACACTGTCTAAACCTGAATTTACAAAAAATCTGCGCTCTTCTCCTGCAGAATTGATTCACCCTCTTCTTTATAAATATTCTTTAACGTCATCCCATCATGTTCCTAGTGCTGCTGTTCAATTAATCACCATTTATGCATCTGCTTCACCATGGGTGAAGCTAGTAGTGCATTCATGCAAGATATGTTACTGCTGTATTTGCAAACAGGGAATACAAGAAACCAGTCGCTATATGGTGTATGGGCAACTACCATTCACTCACTCTCGGATGCAGGGTCCTTCATGGATTCTACAGGCCTCTGACTGTGGATGCACCTTCCCAGCCACATTCAAGTGAATGCTTCTCATGCCCTACCACATTTTGCACTTGAAATACGTTCGAAGTCTGGCGAAGCTTATTAATTTACTTTTTGAAGCTGATTCACAAAGTATAGTAAGCCAAACCATTAGTAATATAACATGCCCTGTTCATGTAGTAGTATGAGTGGTACGCGTTTCTCTGCAACGGCGGTTTTTGGAAGCATTGGAATTTGGACTCACAAGCAAAGATACTCAGTCCAGAGAACGTCTTAAAATATAAAAATTTCATGTTCATGTGCATGAATAAGGGATATCGGGCCGTAGTTGAATGAAGCGCTGAGAACAATGCATTAGGTTTACTAACTTTTCTGGTTTTCGGGAAAATATGTTTAGATAATGATGTGCTAACTTCGTCAGTTTCATTTCTCTTGAGAGGCCATAGCGGTAGTGTCTTAATTAAAAATATTCGGCAGCACTTTTATCCCGGACGAAGCAACTTTCTAAAACTTAGTACTTCTCTCCACTGTTCTTTCGGACACACATCAACTACAACTACGTTTCTGGCCGTTCTGCTTCTCCACAAAGCTGGTATATCTAACCAAAATTCAATTGACATGGTCCTATGATGCCACCACAATTCTTTAATGAAAAATCCTCCATCCTTAATACACCCATTTCTTTCCATTTATTTATGGTTTGTAGCTCTGGAGAGGCTTGAAAGAATTGTACACTTGCACATTGTTTGCAAGTAAAATGTACTAAGGCAGTATGTATAGCACTTCTAACCACCGCCTCTGCTAACACCTTCACGACATGATGTTGGTCCTCAGTGAGTAATTTCAAAACAGAATTAAACGATGTTATGTTTATAATACGTTAAATGTCTTACTATGCGCACGTTTTTGACCTCTCCTTTGTTTGTAGTGGTAGGAGTAGATGAGCGTTCATTTATCGTTGCAAATAAGTTTTCTATAACTCGGGAACGAAAATGTCCTATTTTTTTAAATATTGGGCGAATTTTCGCAAGTTTTTAAATTTAAGTTTTATTTTTTATTAATAATCGTTTACATCATTTTTCAACTATTTAATAGTTAAAATGACGGGAGGGATTCTGGAACTCAAGAATACGTGCGCAGATAATCTTTTCCCCCCTACGTCACACACAGTTTTTACGGTTTTACTAGAACTGAATAATCTAATCTAATGAAAGACTCACGAGTCTACACAAGTCTTGCCTAAGAAATTTCCGAAAGGAAGAAACTTATATAAAGAGAAAGAAAATTTTTGGGGCCGTCTCCAGGTTCCGAAAAGTCGTTTTTTTAAAGTCTGTTCCATCTGTCCGTCCGTCTGTCCGTCCGTCGTCCTTGTCGTCGGTTCCGTCCGTCGTCGTCCGTCTGTGTCCTCGTCTCGTCTTCTCCAATTCTGTCGTCCCGCCGTCCTTCTGTCCATCAGTAAAACTGATCTTCTTCCACTGAGCCTATAACCATAACATAGGAAATTTTCCCAAAATGGATATTCCTCGGGTCAATATGATCGAATCGAGGCTCAGATCTCAATATGGAAATTTTGTGTTGAAAAACTTCGAACCTTTCTATATGAAAATGGCGATTAAGACGTTGTTGTAAAATGAAGCTTGAGTTTGAATTTCAAGCTCCTTTTTCACAGAAAAACTATTGTGTTTTCGAAAAACTTTATTGGAAGGCATTTAATGCGATTCCACACACATCGCTGGAATATGCATATTAAACACGCGACGATATATTTCAAAAAAAACATCTAGTAATTTTTTTTAAAAAAAAAACAACGATTACATTTGATTCAGATTTAGATTAAATTACGTAAAACATGTATGTAACGATGGGAGAAGATACTTTTAAGTCATCTTAAACAGTGGCAAGTGGTGCTATCCGTTCGAAAGTATTGAAGAAAAAATTGAAGCCGTGTTAGAGAAACTTTTGATCTTTTCCGAGAAAATTTATAAGAACATTTAAAGCACGTAAACTCATAAATGAAATAATGTGACAAAATACCGCTAATATAATTATATACTGGACCTGATGAACATGTAAAAAATATATTTTTATAATTTGTGAATAAATAACGACAAGAAAGGCAATCTCTATTCTGTTCATATCTTACGGAAGTATATTTATCATTTCCCTACCGACAAGTTTACAAGAAACTAAGTAGTTGTCACTACAGAATGGTAAAGGACTTCCCTCATACTACTTAATTTGTAATCTCTTGGTCTGTAGCTATTTTACGGTCAACGTCAATGGTCGAAGTAAAAACGATAATATTAATAAACATTTTTTCTTACCATTTTTTATTTTTTCATTTAAAAAAATAATAATATAAATCTTAATAAATAAAATTATAATAATAAAACGAAATGAGATCCAATATTACTCAAATTCTAACTACGTAGCTTCTTAACTGCCATAGCACACACGCATTTTTACGTTCAGGAAGCAAGAGCAAGTAAATTGGGGGGGGTTGCTTAATGTTTATCGTCAAATTACACAAAAAATCATCTTCCTTGAAGACTGTTTTTTGATTAATACAATTTCATTTAAAAATATTGTAGGATTCATTAATTTAGTTTTTAGAAAGATGCCTGAACAAATTTTAATTATTATCAATTTACGAAAAAATCAGGGTTTTAACAAACAACATTTGAAACTTGCAGCATTTTCCTACATATCCTTTCCGTCTATCCAAAAAAAAAGTTCTTTCAAAACTGATGAGCCCAGTTTAAAAAAAACTGAA